AGATTTTAATGCGATTCCTCCAGAGTACGAATGAAGAATGGTAACTACCCGACTGTGACGTTCGGTTTCGAATATGTAGCCACCAATATGTTGCATTAACTACTTCCAGAGCTGAAGAATTATTTGGAAAGCAAACGCTGATGAGTGTTTGGAAAAAGCAACGGAAGGATAGTCCAAAGAACAGGGCACCAAATTTCTAGGAAAGTTATGCAGTTTCTGACAATTTTTGGCAAATATCGTATGAACAGATTTTGATTGTATGATTTATGGTATTCCTAGGCATTGCATGCAAGTCTATGGATTGTCAAAAGATTTTTAGGTATACTCTTATTAAGACGAACTTAATCTAACCCAATTTAATCTAAAGTAACATAATCTAAAGTAATGTAAGGTAACGTAACTTAAAATCAGCTGGGAATATTGAACAAATAGTGCTAATAAGACCAAGCACAGACTCAAATGACTTGAACTTTTCGCGGCTACTAAATGCGATAAAAATTTCTCGGCGGGCTATCCGCGTCAGTATGGATCCGTATTCCAACGTTTCAGAGACCTCCTCTGCTTCCATCATCAGGGAATAACACATGTCTACGTATCCATCTTGATGCGGATAGTCGCACGAGAAGATTTTAAAGCAAAGACTTGTTTCAACTTGTTAGGCTTGAATTTAACACGTGGTCGGCATCATTTCTAACATAGTTTAGAATGCCAAGGTAATTTTAAAGACAAAATTATGCTGACGGATTTTGTCATTTTATACAATTCCTGTGATTTTTATGCAATTTTGGATCTGATACTGTGCCTTCGATATATCAGCAGTATATGTGCATATGTATATGTGTATATATACACGTACATACAACGTATAATACTTCAACACACAGTTACACAGTGTTAGGAGTTCCAATGGCTTATTGTCTTCAGGTGAAGGCAGTAATTAATTACACCATTACATCACGTATGGTATTGATTCTCTAAGGATTTGTGACTGGTTGATTAATTATTTTGGACAATGCCCATTGTCTGAGACATATTTCAGATGCACAACGTTTCGGCAATTGATTGTGCTTCTATCTTTAGGAGACTGGTTGTATTGCATTGGCATGTAGCATATTATATTGGCCGTCACCAAATTGCATCTTCAAGGCGACGAAAGGATTTAATCTCCCTTATCTCTCGGCTCTAAGTCAGCAGTACAGCTTTGTCAGCTTTGCTGCGCTGCGAGTTCTGAGCTGTCTACAGTCGCCTGGGCTCCGCTGTTTATGTTTATGTTTTGCTGTGAACTTGAATCATGCAGTTTGATGACAATCAATATAAAGTATTCAAACAATACCGCGTTCGATATCATTCGTTGCAACTCTTACAAAATAAAAACAATAACTAGTCTGTCAGCATTGTGACAAGAGTAGAACTTGCTCTAAAAATTTTGTGTTCTCAGATACTGGGCAATGCCCAACATGATATTTGTGTAACGTATGGTGATATGTGGATCAACAAGCAGATAAGTGTACAACTTGAAGTGCTTGTAGCAGTTAATACGTGTAGATTGAATCACATAAATATGATTCACTACATTAGAAATCAGCAAGTCGTTTACTTATCGTATCATTAAACTTTACGTAACTTCGTACATTTCATTGGAGGCTAATACGAAGCACTTAAAACATATTAAGGTCTTGTTAATGTACTTTTGACGGGTCCACTCAAACCGAAGAAAAATTTGTTAAAATATAAACGCATTTTAACTTGTAGTAAAAGTGTGGAGGAACACTGTATCGTGTATCTGGATTTAGTGAACGAAGTTGAATCATAAGTTGTTCAGGCTCTCTGTCGGTAGTAATGAAAACTATACAGATCGAACACACGCAATATTTCAAGAATCCGAATTCGTCTCTGTCTTGCAAGTTGTAAGATTCTTTTGACAGTTTCGAAGTAATTTTACTCTTCTAAGAAAAACGAACTTTGCTTCTCCGGCCTTGCAGACACTTTCTTATTCGGGTAGGAGAAATTATTCAGGATTATGTATAATTCTTATCCTTGCTAAGTAATACTGAGTCCATCTTTTAAAATGACGTCCCAGGTGTTTCCTTCTTTCTGGCCTGTAGTAAAATATACACATATGGAATACTGACACGTTCCATTATTCTGCACGTGATTTTTAAATACTCTTTATACTACTATGAAAGTGCCTATCCTTCTTGGAATGGGTTTCACTAAAATAAAGTGTACCGATGAAATAAAGTTCTTTGTTTGTTGTGGCAATCTTATAAATTTATATTTGTATTTACGACAAACAGTGGGGCAGAAAGGGGTTTCATAATAAGAATCTTCGTGCACAAAGAATAACACGGAACCTTGACTTCCGTAATTGACACATCAGTGTTAGTGTACTTCAAGAAACAAACACTTAATTATTCTTACATACAAATTACTCAGGGTCCAGACGCTAGGAGATATGACGTAACATTTTTTTCCATTACGCTAAATTATTTGTATTTGTTAAATTAAATATCTACAGACGAAAAGATGTGGTATCACTCATCGTTTTTATTATTTACTCTGAATTATTATTTATTAAATTCAGATCCTAGAAATAAAACGATGTAACGTAGCTCAGTTTTTATATTCTGAATCCAGAGTCGCGTAGGTAGGCCTGTGGCTAGGTTTAGGCACGTGTTGTGTTTCTGTTAGCTATTTTTAAAACAAACAGGCTTAAAACGGTTGAAAATAAAACCGAGTGTATTAAGAAACGTTGTACTAAGCCCCATTAATTACAACACTCTTCTTTAAAACTCTTTTAAAAGTCTTTAAATGTAAGTTGCCTAGGGACAATTTCTCAATTTGCATAACTTTAAAGGTACCTTAATTCATTTGGCTCACTCCATCCTCTGTCTTTTGTTTCTCTAAAAACGTTCGTTTGCATTCCAATTGTGCGTAATTATAGACGTCTTATTTCGATTATTGATTCAAAGTTAAAGATAA